TGCCGCAACGCGTTGTGCAACTGCTACACAGGTATGTGGCACGTTTCGTGAGCTACGTGTGGTGCCACAGCCATGTCGTAACTAGGAGCTAACAAAAATGAAAAGACAACAGGTCGACCTGTGTGTGTGTGTGTGTGTGTGTGTGTGTGTGAACCGTTGCACGACCTGCTGGCCCACGTTGCTGTTCCACATTTTCGGCCCAGACAAACAGAAGCCAGCGTCGTGTCAGGCACGATGTTAGTCATCGATCAAATGCCAATTAGGCAACATATTCAGTAGCCTCTAATATGACAGCCAAACGGAGCTGTCGAGACATGAAGTCGAATTTGAATTGGCCTAGCTTTAATTTTGCATATTACGCATAGTTCGTGGAGGACTCGCAAAAAGTCTTTAAGCTTGATAAGCATATATTCTACTCAAATTAAATTGAAATCGTTTTCATATGACATTTACATAATACTAAAAATTGGGCAGCGCAACAGTTGGCTGGCATCAATGGAGGGGCGAAAAGAGAGCATCATTATTTAAATGCCCACGCTCATGCATAAACATGCTCGCATCTACATAAATAACTTAACTTTTAAGTATATGCACGCTCCTGTTCCGTACATATACTGCATATGTAAATAAGCGTAAAATCGAATTTCTGCACGTGTGTGACGCTCCTCGCCAGGCGTGTCTCTTCTTTTATGTGAGCTGGTGCTGCTGCTGGTGCTGGTGCTGGTGCTGTCAGTTGTCAGTCGGCTGCTGAGCTTGAAATTTGTTTACCTTTCACTTCAAGTTTCCAATCAACGCCCAAAGCACAGACGAGGGCAGACTGGCAGGCAATTGATGCAACTGCTCTTTTGATCTGTTTAGCATTCACTCGCTCGCGGCTGAGCAGCTCATCACAAATGGATAAATTGGTTTACATATGAATACGAGCATCACAGGGCAGCCGACTTGAACATTAAAGTATTTTTTCATAATATTGCAAAAATTTATATTGAATTTCGCAGGGGTGACCAGAAAAGGTTGACTTTGAGCTTCATTGCGAATGGCATTTGGGGATTTTTGGGCGTAGAGCGGCTGATTCAAAAATACAAAATAAATTAAAATTACTTAAAAATATTTCATAGGTATTTAAATAGAAATATTTAGGAAATATCATGGACTAAAATCAATTTGTATTAATAAATATCGTGGACTAAAATCAATTTGTATTAATATTTGATTTCAACTAAATATTTAAAATAAAAGAAAAAACATTATTATTAAAAATTTTTTGACAACTAAATAGCTCAATGCCTAGCTCTTATTATCAGCCCCTAGGCAAAAACAGTTTCAAGCACGAGCAGTAACAAACTCACATATGTATATATCTAACGGCATAATAACTTTCTTACTTGCGGCACTTTAAATAAAAGAAGCCGAAACTATGGTAGGTAATGTAATTTAGGAAAATGTAATTACTTTTAGTTACATCAGTGAAAAGAAGTTCTATTTTTGAGTTAATAATTGCGTATTGTGGCTCAGCGAAACTTTTCAGCTGCTGTTCACGCAACCGAGCACATATACTCATCCCTCATGAAACATCAGAAAATGTCTGGCAAAGTTTCTGTGCAAGCCACCACAACTAAGATGTAGGCGTGAAACTGAACTTTTTTTTTAACCAAAAGCCTAAGGCATTTAGATAATCGCCAAGTAAGGCAAAACTTTACAGGCAAAATGAGTGCGAAAGTTTTATTGAGCTGTTGAGCTGATCAGTGAATATTTGAATAAATAATAATAAATGTAACTAAAAATAGCAATTTAATTCTAATTTCATTACTAACCAATTGAATGTGCTCCAACTGCTATCCATTCCAATTAGATTCTGTAGTTTCTCTGAGCTGCTCGTTGAAGCAGAGTGGCGCAGTGGAAGCGTGCTGGGCCCATAACCCAGAGGTCCGAGGATCGAAACCTTGCTCTGCTATACGATTTTTTTAAATAAATTTTTATTTTAATTTTTTTTTTTTTTTTCAATTTCATTTTTAATATTAATCTATTTTGTTTTACTTATATATCGAAATGTTTGCTTTTGATGAAAGTACATAAATGCCGATTGCAATCGGGCAGCTCAAATTGATTTTCAGACAAACACAAAAACCTTTTATTAAACGTTTTTTAATCGCTTAAGCTGTTTAAATATTTACATATCGAAACTAATTTAAATACAGAATAAAGTGAAGCATAGTTCCGCTGCATCCAATACACCCCGCTTCAATATACATAGACTCGTTTGAGCAGCGGCAGCTATTATGAAACGATTTTGACATTAGTCCCATGGGTGGACGATAACATATTCTTCGTACTAACAAAATCACATAAAAATTTGCAACTGTAAATTGCATGGCATAATTTGATACACAAATTGTGTAATGCTTCCCCAGTTTCATATATTTCCATGACGCAACTGCAAATTGCCTCAAGCATTTCGTTTAAGTGCACTTTGGTGTTATATTAAAATTGTTAGCTGCCTTCTGGCTGCTGGCTGCGTAAACATGGCCAAATTGCCAATATACAGTACATGCATATACATATTTCGCAGCAACACTTAGTTTAATTTTTGCAGGCCTTGCCTGAAATGAGTTTATGTAAATAAATTGATGGCAGCTCCCCCAATGCCGCTTTGCCGGCGATTACATTGCTTGCGCACAAACAAAGCAGCGATGCTACTATAACAACAGCAGCCAATATTATTAAATTTACAGTTCACAGATGAATGGAGTCAGTCGATGTCTTAGTCTAGTCAAACTGGTCCTTTTATTATATCATATTTGGTTATTTTTATGAATTTTGCATTCCACATTGAGAGGCAATTCCCTTTTACTAACTAACAGGCATATTTTGAACAACTAGCATTATATCCACTCTATTTACTTTCAGGGGCCTTAGTTCAATTTACGACTCGAGCAGAGTAATAAATAGTTATTACAGCATATGCGATCCATGGTAGAACTCAGCAACTTAGTTCCTTGCGTTAAACTCGAAATATTGCCGTAGTTTGCTCAGCTAGCAAAGCTGTGCATAATTTGTGTGACAAAGTTTGTCATGCGAGTTAATGCAGTTAGTGCAGCGGCTGGCACTACGACAAAGCGAACTCTCGGCGAGCAGAGAAATGGGAGTGCGACTGGCTTCGAGTGGAGTGCAGGCTTCCAGCCAGTAGCTGAAATATTTTCAAATTTGCATGCTAATGAATGGTGTGAAATCGTTATGAATTATGTGATGGAGTCATATGTGTGCATCACGTGAGTGTGTGTGTGTGCCTGCAGGACCTCTGTGTGCAACGACAACAAGGACCATGAATTTTGAACATTTTCAATCGTGCAAAATGCAACCGGGTCGCCAGCTAGCTTGACATCACAGATTAGTCGACTTAATTGCATGTCGAACTTTTTCACTGGCAGCCAACAGCTCAGAAGATTACTCTCGCTCACTGACTGACTCACTGGCTGGACATGGAACAGCGTTGGAGGTGGTGAACCCAAAGCTAATTCAGAAATTGAAAACTCAGGCTGGCAACTAGCCACAGCTACAGCCAACAGTCAACTGGTAATCCAACTCGAGCTGGCAGCACATGTGTGATTTTCTGCACAGAACAATGTAAAATGCTTCGCTCACTTAGCCATAACAGATGTTGGCAAGCAAGTACCAAAAAAAAAAAAAAAAAGAAAAAAGAATCATCAGAAATTGAATATTAAATAAGATAAACAGAGAGAAATAGTGAAAGTGAGAAAGAAAAGGAGACAAACAGCTAGTTTAACTTTAAAAATTTTAAATCAATGCCAAATATATTTTATTACTTAAGCAAAGACTCTTAATTAGAAAGATAATAATATTCTAATACACCTTTAATATACATATATACATATGTTAAAAACAGCAATAGAAAAAACAACACAAATATTTACTGAAATGCTTTAAATACATTTCTATTACATACCTACATATATATGTATGTATATATTAATAACTATGAGATCATTATTAAGCAACTCTAGATACATATTTACAATACATTTAAGTACGATATTTGCTGCCGAAATACCAACGTCCTCGATAGTATAGTGGTTAGTATCCCCGCCTGTCACGCGGGAGACCGGGGTTCAATTCCCCGTCGGGGAGAGATGTTTGACATTATTTTTTATTCTTTAAAAAAATACTTTACCAGTCTTTTAATAATATTTTATATATTTAATCATATTTTTTAATTTTGTAGGTTTTTTTTAACTTCCATACCAACATAGCCAATTAAATTCTATTTCTATTACATGCTCCTACGCATGCTTTCATAAGCATAGGCCAAGAAGGCTGCCTCACTCATTTTATAAAATTCACGTAGATCCACCACCGATATGTTTTATGACCTTTATTTTGAGAACGATGAACAGCCCTCGAGTCGCATACAAATTGATTATTTAATCCTTGGAACGATTTGCGAATTGTCGAAGCAATATACTCATCAGATTTGCGCCCCAAGATGGATAACGCGCCAATCGACGATAACGTGAGCCAATTTATCAGGCGACACGATGAACTTTGACATTTTTATTGATGCCCCTAACAGAACGGAATATTGATTTGCATAGACATCAAATTTCGTCGAAACACCCATTCTGTGACTGCAATAAATTTAATTTCAAAATAAAGAACAATTTTCTGTATGTGGAAGCATGTGAAATGACAACAGCAGCTTAAGATTTTACACAATTTATTTTTAGAAATCAAATGTCGAGCAAAGAATTTGCAGAAACATCATGCCGAGCATTGTACTGGTGCAGCACAAAAATCGTAAATCAACATCTGAAGCAAACATCATTGAGG